GCCCGCCATCGCTAGAGAAGGCAACCGAGCTGACCCAGCGGCTGTGGCCCTCGAGTGTTTGTAAACAAGCACTCCAGTTTTGTTCTACGATAGCCTTCGCTGACACCTGGCCGGTATCATTGTGAAATAAATTTCGAATAATACTTGTCTCTGGTGCAAAGATGAGCGTAGAGGCGTAGAGTTGGAGAGGTGACTGGTCGATTATTGAGCGGTAATTAAGAATGAAACGATTTGCGTCACGAAGAAAGTGTGAGGTCTTAGTACTGCTATGTGACTATATGATTTATCTTAGTAAAAGCATCACTCTTGTCAGATTAAACCTACCTCAATTAGGCTTTGCAACTCGCCTATAAGCCCAATGCCCTCAGATATCCTTCCAATAAGACTCAACGCCTCAAGCCAGTGAAGGAAGTAGCATTGGAGGAATTGGAGTACTTGGTGTCCATCACAAAGCTTGGCTCCGCTACCTTTCAGGTGACGCACCCAGTATAAAGTCGCATATTGAACCTCTGGTGGCAGACAATGGTCAATTTGATGTTTGCCAACGGAAAACCGAGTCTTCCCCGGTGCTGCTAGCCCACAGATGTCTTGTTTAAGGCGACCATTTTCGGAGAGTAGCCGAAGACACCTCTCTGCGAGCATGTTGTGGGTAGCCTTCTCGTCTACCCAGAATTGATGTTTATCCTCTGGGTCAGAATGGACAAGATATTCCCGAAACGATTCGTGGAATATTCTCACAGGAGCTGTACTGTCAGTTGGGATGTCGAGAACCGAATGAAACATCTGCAGCCTATTATCAACGCGTTCTACCGCAATACCAAGAAGGTTTGCCAGTGATATAACGCCAAGAGGACTTGAGAGAGTGACTATCGAGCCCACTATTTTTTTGAACTCAGTGATTGCATTGCGACGTGAGGTGCCTTTCAGTCCCTGAACCATCTGATTCAGGATAGGCATGTATGTCTGGTCAAAGTCTCCATAGGCTTCATGTTGGAGAATCTGCCGGAGTCGACTGTCTGGCCCGCCCTCGCCTTGTCGATTATCTTCAATAAAGCGGCAAGCGGTAGCCGCGGAGATGAATAGTGGGACGGATCTCTTAAGAAGATCTTCGAGCATAGCCTGACTCGGCCAACTCGTGGCGATATTGTGCTGGCGCCGAATTTCGCAGATTCGGAATTTCAGAAAGATTGCGATACCTCGCTCGATCATACGCGGGGGGATCTCGTGAAGAGGAAACTCTATGAATTTGCCGTGGCTGTCGCTAAAGCCCAGACGAATCGGAGGTTCGTATCTGCTGGTGATTAAGAATTTCAAGGGCCCTGCCTGCCGAAGATCACTTTGCAACAGTAATTTGATAATAGTTGTGACGTCCTGATCCGTCTCGCACTCGTCAAGGGCATCAATCACAACCGTCATAGGCTTTGAGAGGGTTTGTTGCGCAGCTTTAACAGGATGCTGAATGAGCTTACGGAACTGTTCTCCTAAGCCTTTAGCGGAGATTGTCGGGTCCGCCTCGATAACGTTTCGCACATATCCGGCCACCGACGGCAATCTCTCAGCGAGTTGTACAGCGATGGTCGTAAACAGGCGCCCAGCATTACTGCGATCGGACTCGGTCCTCTTGAAAAAGAAGCTGCCACCAAGGCGGCCTTTGGCGCTGAGATCAGCGGCCATTGTACGAGCGATTGTTGACTTGCCAGTGCCAGCCTTTCCTTGAAGCCAGTAAACATGCTCGTCAGTCTGATCGTTGGACCAGTCCATTATGGCTTTGAGGAGCTCATGCCGAGTATTCTCGAGGCACGTCGCAACTTGTTCGTTTGCATGGGAATCAAACGCAGCCTCTTCTACCGTGCGCAGATTGCCAACGACAAACTTTTGGTTGCCGTTCAGCGTCGGGGCAGTAGTCCTGTTGATGTTAGCCTAGATATCGGGGATGGTCAAGAAACGTACGCTTTAAGCCTAGTCAACACTTGCTTAAGGTTAATGTACAACTTGTCTTCCGTCGTCTTGCACTTGTTTAAACCGGAATGGTCTGTATCAATGTCAATCGTTATGGCGCCGTGGCTACCGCGAGCTGAGTCTCTAGGGACGACCTGTGATATTTTAGAGAGGCTTTTTGTGAGGCGCCAGCACATACCAGTCCAATAGATAGCCAGCCGAACATGCGTGTAGGCTTGGCTTCGCGTAAGGCCACGATTTCAGTCCGCTGTCGGCGACCTTCTTTCATCTTCATGCACTCGTCAAAGCGTTCGTCCAGATCAGAGAGCTTGTCGCGGTGGCTCGATAGCGAGAGGAGCAGGCCCATGCTGGACCCGAAGACGCTACTGATACGGGCTGCAAGGATGCCGAAGAGTGACATGGGGGATCCTTGATGAGGGGTCCCGAGAAAAAGAATGCCGGATGTACTGTCGACAATCTCTTTCGTATCCTCTCCGGATTTGCACAGGGCCTGTCGAATGGTCAACCAGGGCATGGTAAGTTGATATAGCTGCGCACCTCCTTGATAATAATGCCGCCAAAACTGTGGCCGATGAAGACGATGGGAACGCACTACCGCGTTTGTTAGCTCCAGAAAATTCAAGGCCTCCGTGCCTTGTAGCACCTACCCGGTGTTTCCTCCGGTGCTTCACCAACCCGTCCAGCAATCGTTCGCCAATCAGCTGCGCAGTAGTAACTGGGGCATTCATCAACCAGTCAGAGTTATGAGCAAAGGCGAGAATTCTTGCTTTCGGGAAGTCGTGTTTAAGGAGGTCTCGGAGCAGGTGTACTCGGCTTCGCTCTTCGGAATTTGTCGATCTCGAGGGGGCTTGGGACGTCCAAGTTTTTTCTGGATGAGCACCGAGGCCGTGGACGGCAACGATTCTGTGGTAATCAGTGTATGGCTCAAGCAGTGTTGTGACGAGTTGTGACTCACTCAAAGCTGGCCTCGCCGCCATTCTCTGGCTCGGAAATAACATAAAGGCCATCAACACGGTTAGCTGTGCCGCGTCGGTGAAGCTTGATGATGGTGGGGAAGAGGAGAGCAGAAGTCAGCAGCAGCACCAACACGGTGGCCCACAACGTTATGCTGTGCTCCATAGCGGGCGCACTGGTCTCGGCTCGGTTGCGTGTTCCACAGAACAACAGTTTGCCGCTCGCTACGAATAAGTTCATACACAGGGGCCTAAGGTATTTTAGGCGATGTGTCTCGTAAGCGGGGGGGCAGATCCGGAGTGCGGCAAGATATAGCTCCGAAAGTACAAATTTCAACTTCGAGATCGCTCACAGTGTGCAGAAGCTTTTTCGTACTATATGGTTATAGCTCCATTCTTCAAAGACTGTAAGTCAAGCGACGAATCTGATTATGCGCAGAACAATACACTTTGGTTGTTATCAGCAGGATTTTTTGCAGCGATTAGCGTTTACCAGAGTTTTACGGGCTCTCGAAGGGTCGTGTCCGCAGGACGTCCTGTCCCTTTCTTTAGCCTGCTACTACTGAAGCCAGTTCCACTTCTTGACCAGGTGCAATTGCTTGAGGGGAAGTACTGGACCGCAAATCGTGAAAGACATCAGCCACGCCGGGCAGGCAAAGTCGAGGATAGCCTTGTGCAGGTACGAGAGTAGGGCCTTGTACGATAGGCTGGTATGCTCGGCCACGAGTAGCAATACAGCACGCTCGTCTAAACAGAAGGCATATTGGACTGTTGTTACGCGCGTCTAGACACGGTGCTTCAGCCGACCAGCAAGTAAAGCAGCCGCGCATGATACAACCAGACGCTGGTGGAGGGTTGGGTGTGAGCTGTTGAACCCGTGCATTTACACTTATGTGCGAGCAGAGCCGAGTTACCACCCGCTTCTTAGCAATTGAGTTGAGTGATACGTCTACGCTAAAAATGTCACTTCATGATCGTATCATCTCTTTATCGTGTCACATGGATCACTTGGTCCATCAGTGATCGCATGTAGTTGAACAGCCACGCGGATTAGCGCTGCAAGCCCGACGAGAGCAGAGCCAAAGAAAATGGTAGGTGTCCAATACAGTCACAGAGCCAGCTGGCAACTGAGCACACCAACAAGGAGCGGCTGCGCTTCAGGCAACCGGCGGGTGCTTCACCGAGTCAAGAGGGCGACTGGCGACAAAGCGACAGCCTTAGGACGCTTCGGGAACGAGGCCTGACTGGTACCTGCTCGTACACCGGCCATGGCAGTGGCCTCGTGCAGAGCAAAACGATTTGCTCGACACTTCCATAATAGGGGCACGCCACCACCAATTTCTTTGCCGGCAAGGTTTCGCTTTCTTGTGCGTACAGTGGGTTGTGTGTACTTGCGAGCCGGCCACGGCTTCTCCCGAGTGAAAGCCTGCCAGCATTGGCAGGTACAGCCAGGCAGGCCCACGCCAGGGGAAGACATCACGGAAGCCTGAGGCATGCAACGGGAAGTGGGTGTCCGACACGTCGACGCCAACTCAACACGCCGGGACTCGCGACACAGATTGCTTACGCAGACATTGGGAGTGAAAGTGGCGCGTCGCGTCGTGCTGTGACGCGACAAGCATTTACTGCAACGAACATGGGCAACAGGATCTTACAGTACACTTTCTAAAATAAAAAATAAAATAAAAAGTTCTCTTTTTAGCGTGGCAAAGCCGAATGTGGCCAGAACTGCTGATAACTTAACTGTATCCACGTAGCAGGAAGTAGCCGTTATCATTATTGGTAACTCTGTGCGGCACATTTGAGTTGAACCCAATTTCGAGCTTAAAATCCAAATCAGGCGGTGGGGCAGGCGCGGGTGCGCCTGTCTCAGCATAGTCAGGCCACTGACCAAAGTTGGCTATAATCAGTTTGCGGACGCTAAACCTGGACTACACCCCAGTTCAGTGTCCCCCAATTTCGATGTAAAAAGGTCCAAACTAGGCGCGTGGGGCTGGCGCGGGGAGCCTGCTCAGCATAATTAGGCCACTGACTAAAATTTGGCTCTAATCAGTTTACGGACGCTAGCCATGGACTACACTACCCTGTACACAACCACCCCATCAATTTTTTTTTCGCCATTGAGGCTATTTGCTGCTGCAGTTCGTGGATCTTCTGCGCCAAATCTGGCGTCCGTTGTTTCCTGCCCCTTGGCCTGTCATGCCGCCTTTTTACAGCCACTTCACCTAAGAGAGAACAATTTAGACGCTGGCTGAACGGCCTGGACGTCTCCTCCCCTTCGAAGATGTAGAAGCTAAAAATGGCCTGTGCAGCCACATGGTGCGCCAGCAGTTTTCCGTGCCTGGATGCCAGACGAATTCCCCCGTCCCCACCAGCGAAGCAGTGGCGGCTTGACACGCATTAGTTTGCATTCGGACGGACAAAAACGACGCCGGGCGGCCATGTCATCTCTGCGAGGCCATCATCGAGATGACTCTGATGTGTTCGTTCAAGGCTCCGCGGCGCCATCCAAGAGAAGTCCACCATCGAGTGAGGGTTGGATTCCAAAGCTCAACACGGCTGCTTGTTGCTGCCAAGATGAACGCTACGAGGACTGGTGCCGCGGATGACACAGACTGCGCACTGCATATTAATACACGGCCAGAGAGATATAGATGATCGCGCGAGTTTGCGAGAAAATACGAGTCGATCAAATGTGTTTGCGCTGCCTGTGTCACGGATAGGCTACAGGAATGGCCGACCGAGAAGAGTATCATCGTGGTCTATGTCTACACAGGTATAACATACCATACTGATTTTTGCAGGATCCTATGTCCTATGCGGGTTTCGGTCCAATTCCGTGTCCGACAGCCCATTTCGCCACACCTCTGTCCAAGGCTTCAGCACCTTGAGAAAAGAGGCAATAGAGGTTCTGCGGACTATTTTGTGACCTGCCTTGTTTATGGCCTGGCACGCTTCAACTTTTTATTTCCAACCTGACCAAATTCTCGCCGGTGGCGATATATAGAGCCTGTAATTTTGAGGCTGGGATGGTTAGTCCATCACCCAAAGACGCTGCATTTACAATGTACATGGCTTTATTATCCTTTGCAGCGCCTGTATCTTCTCGCGTAAGCCATTCCGAAAGGAGGAAACATGGTTCGGGCTCCGGTATTCCTTCCTTCTATAAGACATGTGTGCACTAGGGAGGGAGCGTTATCGCCACAGGCAGACTTTTCGTCTTCCACCATATCAAATGACCTATATCACATTATGGCTTGTCCAGACTCCGAGACAGTGCTGCCCAGATGGAGCTAGTACTCAACGAATCAAAGCTCTCTGATCTCTCATCACCTGAACTTTTGTCGTATCTATACCGCAGATCTTCGCCAGAAACATCGTACGAATCATCGGCACTCGAGTTAGCCGGGTGCTTCAACTGCTCGTTCTCTCTCCAAAGCCAGTCATCAAAATCCAACCCATCCATTTCTGGAAGGGGACTGGTCTCTTGAGGAGAAGCTACAGATGCTTTGTAGAGCCAATGCTGGGCGGGTCGGTCGACCAACTGCTTTGCTCTGCTCACTGCAGGGCTGTCATCGCCCTCAATGATGACCCTGGTGGTGTACGCTCCCTCAGCGAAGATCTGCGCTCTCGTTTCATCACCGTTCGCGATTGCAATTCGAAATGCGTCGTAGCAAGTCTTTGGAACACACGCATCCCGGATGCCTTCTTCCTCAAACAAACGAAGTATAGTTCGCACGAGATGAAGGTCCACGTTGTAGTCGGAGGTGACAGGGTCCAAATCGCCGAGAACTTCGTGAATGGCTTGGATCTTGCTCAACCTGTGATCACTTTCCTCACGATGGCTTGGCGGAAGTAGGCATAGCTCACACTCACAGTCGAAACAGAACTTGGCTTGCAAAAGCCTTCGGCGCTCTGTGTATTCCATCCTGCGGCTAAGGTATGAGATAGTAATTTCCTGTCCTTCCTCGATATCACAGAGCGCGTGGATAGTGAGACGTCCAATGTTCTCATTCCATGTATTTTGCGCATTATGTCGGCAAGAGTGGTTGATGCGAGATGCCTCGAGGAAAAGGCCACCTTCATCGGCCTCAGAGCCGACGGGTAGAACGTTCGTACGGGCAATCGTGTGGCTCTTTCCGTAGACATTGTGAAGAGAAAAGAATGCCCGTTGACGGTCCCTGTCTAAGCTTTTCAATGCGCTGACAATCTGGTCATTGAAGACCTGGTGGTTATGTTCGTCTCGACGGACCTTGAATATCGGTGCCTCAGAAAGTATACGTGCTCCTTTGTGGATTTTTGAGGTGGCGACCAGGCCTTGCCCCTTACCAGAAATTGGTCTGATGGCGTATACATTTTTCTCCATACCGTTTCGCGGCAGAGCAGCCGACAATAGGGGTTGTTCCAGACCAAGTCGAGAGGTACCGCAGGCTGGAGATAGGTTCGTGTCGGATGGCATCGACGTCGTCTCTTGCCTCTCCTCCCAGACGCGATTTTTCGGATCCCAATCTTGCCCTGCCTCCAGTTCTCTGAGCGTCCTACTCGCATCGTGCACCTCCCGCCAATCATAATATCCCCACTGTCGTTCATCACCAGTCTCATTCATTTCATGCCAGAAATGGACTCTGCTACCGAAGTATCTCAGCGCTATGCTGTGCACGCCTCTGATGTACGGCTCAGCAGGCGTTGTCAGACGCCCACTAATCTTTGAGCTGAATCGGAGGAAGTAGTTGCATCGGTCGGGATTACTTGGCATGTGCGGACACTCTCCGACCATGAACCACATGTAAGCTCTGTCCGAGTGATCGAAATCTGTTGACGTGCTCAAAACTTTTCCATCTGTCCGACGTCCTTCCCTGTCGTAGATATCTCCATACGTATGTGTGATTCCATCAAGGAATTGTTGGTAAGACTCTTTATTTACTGCAGTCGCTTCCAGCCGCGGGTAAATGTCGAATCCACAGTCGAAGCCCATCGTGAAGAGGTTATACGCCTGGACCTGGCAGCCTGGTTTCTGAATTTTAGTCGCGTGTAGCAGTACAGTAGCGTGGGTATTTGGCTTGAAAATACGACTCGACACATCCGATGAAGATAGCAAATGTGCTGCATAGCGGACGCTGCTGGATTGGTAACGAACTGCCTTAGGCTCCAACACCGTTGACCTAACCAGTTAGCTCCGTTCACCTTGTTGCCAGCGCATCCACCACCTTTGGCAGTCCCGACGGCTGCGCCTTAGACATGCATATGCATATAAATCCGTGTCTGGCCATCATTGGGCTATTGCTGGCAATCATGATGTGGAACACAGGTTTGTGAAGCGGGCAGCGAACAAATTAGGCTAGGCCTGTGGCCACCGTCTCGATTATGCCAAGCCGGTATTGCCACCGAGGTCCCTGTCACGCGGGCTTTTCATCCATACAATACGGTGGGTTGTGGATTGACTCAAACTGCATAGGAACTTGCTCACTAACGTCTCTTCGTGGGCTAAAGACTGCCCAGCGGACTTCAATTGGCCGAGAGAAAAAGTGCGAGAGATCTTTTGTGCAGCAATTCTACTACACAGTTGGATGTACAGTAAATACATATGTCCATGCAATGGTATGAAAATGTTTTTTTTTCATCAGCATATATTTGGGCCCCGGCACCAGTGATGGAGTCGAGCATGTGTAACCTTACAGCCAGCATTTACTGTCAAACCTACAACAGAAATCATGTTTTCCATTGGCGATCTCTCGGGTATTGCTTCTGGCTCTGCGGTAGCCACCTGAATGATTCTGACCTTAACTGGGCCACTTCTTCTGTGGCAGCTTCCTCATCTTCCAATACTAGCGCCTCCCGCCACAAGACATCCCCCATCTGGCAATATTGTCGACTAGAGGAGGGCAGAAAGATTCCGGCTGGCAAATCGTGAATTGCGACGCCCAACTCCAGCGGCTTGGGACACATCGAGCGACAGTGGACGACCAACGACGGTACTTGTTTCAAGTCAGCCGGGATTACCCCCTGCTGATGCAAGCTGCGGTCTATAGCGAATACAGTCATCAATTTTTCGGCAGCGCGAAAAGCGACGAAGGGTCGAGAAGGCGCCTCAGGGCGCGTGTCCAAAACATTCTTGACGATTTTGCTGAAGACATGCGCGTGCACGGTCAAACTCGCGTTCTTCTAGACGAGGTGCCTGAAGACGAAGAAATCGGAGTATGTAGCCGCTACATTTTGCGATCCGATTATATCGAAGAGGTTAAAAACCTAATGAAAAAGAGTCGTGGTCGCAAGTTGTCGGGCACATTTAACCCCTTGATTATCAGCGAACTCTTCAAGGGGCAGTGTAAGCCTTGGCAAGGGCTCGTGGACAAAGTCAGGGAACAAGTCCTTCACGCCATAGACAAGGTGACAAATGCGATCGTCACGCACGTGGCCGCCGGGGACACCGTCCCCGGTATCCTCTCCATCCTACGCAATGCAAGAACCAACTCTATTCGTGACCTTGACGCCAGGTTTGAAACTTTACTTGAGCCCCATCTCAATGGGCATCCCATTACATATAGCCATTACATGACTGACAATGTGCAGAAAGCACAGGAACGACGGCGCCTAGGGGCTTGAAAAGGCATTTCGAGACCTGGTGGGTGCTGAGAATTTCAAGAAGGGTAAAAAGGTGGCGCTGTATCCTCATGAAATGTTCACAGAGTTGAAGCGGCGCACTGAGGTTGGCATGCAGCTATACGCGGGACAACCTGCGACTGACTATATGGAGGCATACAGTACTACAAGGTGCGTCACCCCATCACTGGCAACGGGAGCCGAAACTGACAACCGAAGTAGGTTGCTTGCAAGAAATTCATTGACGATGTTAGCGTTTTGGCCATTAAGGGCTGTCTTATGGCCAAGCTTTCGTCGTCATTTCAAGCTGAGGAAATTTTGAATTTGAGGAATGATGAACTGGCGTGTAATTTCCGCAGATGAGGGTGTAGCAGACTCATCATCCTCAGAATATCCCTCCGACGCTGTACAATCCGACGGAGAGATAGCCGAAAAGTTCACCACCGTAGAAGAGCCGCCGCCCAGCAAAGCCCGAGCGTGTACAAGCACCATGAGTGCAACGGGGTTTGCCGAAACAAATCCATGCATTGCTTGAAAGATAAGGACGGAACCATCATCCGATCGATTTCGAAACGATGCGAGCCATTTACGACGACATAAAATAAAGAGTGGGAGAGGACGAGAATTTAGAGGATGTGCAAGATATCGAAGTTCCGGAAAGATTTCATCGTAAAATTCTTAGTGACAGCAAGAAGCGCAAGGCCTACAGTGAGATCGACAGCCGTAGTCGCAAAACTAACTCTGACCGAGGAGTTGGATATCGTGAGCACCTAGAGATCGTAGGGGCTCCAGAGGAAGTGATGAAGGAGTACTGCACATCAAACCTAAATGTGCAAAGTGACAGACACAGGAATGGAATGGAAGCAGCGAATAAGGTTGCCATGGAGGAGCTCCTAGACTTGTCAACCGTCCACTAATACTGTAGCTTGCTATTACTGAAGAACTAGATTGAATGCAACAGAAACTCATGGAGGCCATCTGACAGCGCAGGCTCAGGCTGGTCTTACGCGACGAGGGGCTCGAGAGTGGTGCAAAGAGCGGCGGCTAGATTGGACTAGTAGCTGCAAGAAGCATCATCCATGCTACGTCAGGATAAAGTATTTAGACCATGGATCTCCATAGAACGCGTTGGACCTGTAGACTCCTCGTTTTCCAAGAAATAACAGCCAGAGATCTAGACAAGAAGCGAGCCCGCACGATGTAGGGCCTTGCTCTGAGCCGGAACTGGGAGGCTGGCGCCCTGGTGGGTCTCCCAGTGGAGTCTGGAATGCGTGGGCATGGCTGGCAGATACCAGCGCAAGAAGCACTAGTTAAACAGTCGATTCCTAGCTCCAAATTTTCACGCTGCATCACCAAAATTATGGAGGAAGCAGTACTGACCTTGACGGAACGGAAGAGTGGTAAGCTGCTGTCTCTGCGGGATACGTGAACACGACTAAACATCAAATATACAGTGCGTCCAACCAGACTCCGCACTAAGTATCTACCAAGCGCTGGCCTACATACCTTCTATCCATCCATCACTTTAGACGCGAGATTTTGTCCAGGATAGGCTATGAGACTTGTCTGGACAATGAAGGCCACCTTTGAAACAGTCCAAGCAGATGTCAAAGTCGCTACCGCTGCATATGCCACAGTGGTAGTAAGATACCTTGCTGGAAATTCCCTGAAGACAGGCATCGCAAGTCATGAAAGCATTCTTGTACTTGATTGTGGGGAGAATGGTCTGTTTTTCGTGTGCTGTAAGCTCAGTGACTATCGAACCACGCTGGACCAAAAGATTAATGATTTGAGTATTTCCTGTCTTGGACGCCCACCACGATACCGATCGGCCGAGCGCATCGATAGTATCGATATCTATATCTCCCCTTGTGAGTAGAAGCCGAACCACTTCTGCGTGTCCATTTTTGACAGCTGCTAGAAGTGGTGATGAGCCGTAGTGATCCTGCATTCCAATCAATGCACCAGATTTGAGTAGGAGCTGGATACTATCCAATTCATCCGTACACGAGGCAGCATGTAGTAACGGAGTTCGCCCACAGATGTCTCGCGCATTTGGATTGGCACCACGTGACAACAGCAACTTGAGAACTCGGAGTTGCCTGTTTATAGCAGCAATATGAAGTGGTGTATGACCATGGCTACTCGTGATTGTCATATCTGCTCCTTTGTCTAACAGCAGCTGCACGATCTGTTGATGGCCTTTGTATGAGGCAGCTTGGAGAGCATTGCCATAGCGGCCGCCTTGTGCATCGATATCTGCTCCATTGTCTAGCAGCAGCTGCACAATCTGTTGATAGCCTTCAATCGAGGCAGCTTGGAGAGCATTGCCATAGTCACCACCTTGTGCATTGATGTCTGCTCCATTGTCTAGCAGCAGCTGCACGATCTCTTGATGGCCTCCAATTAAGGCAGCTTGGAGAGCATTGCCATAGGCCACTTTGTGCATTAATGTCTGCTCCATTGTCTAGCAGCAGCTGCACGATATCTTGATGGCCTCTGTATGAGGCAGCTTGGAGAGCATTGCCATAGCGGCCGCCTTGTGCATCGATATCTGCTCCATTGTCTAGCAGCAGCTGCACAATCTGTTGATGGCCTTCAATCGAGGCAGCTTGGAGAGCATTGCCATAGTCGCCGCCTTGTGCATTAATGTCGGCACCAATCGACAGAATTTTGTACACTGTCTGTTGAAGGCCCGAAAGGCAAGCGAAGTACAGTGGCGCTGCCTTAGGCTCGCCCGGATCGTCTTCCCATGGCCTCTCCGGATTGAATAGACTAGCCCAGAGTCTAAACTTTGTCGCTTTCCGGAGAAATTCCAAAATTGCCTTTAAACTTGATGCTGAAGCTTCTGCATGTTCAGCGCAGTCCATCCATATTTCTGATGCGTATCGGGCGAGTGGATATTGTATCCGTAGTCTAGAAACTTTATCCTCTTGTATGCTTGCAAGATATGTCAAGCATACCTGCACAACATCAGCCATTAGTTGAGGAATTATAAATGCCGAGACATCACACTGTTGAAGGTACTCCTTTACTGAGAAATGCGCCAGTTGAATGGTTTGTAATCGTCCTTTGTCTGAACTTTCGACAAGTGACACTAGGCTTGAACAAAATGCCGTAATGTCTTCGGGCCACTGAAGTCTGTCGTTTTTGTTGAAGTACCCTGCGTCGATGCGAACGGCGATCACATCAACAGCCTCTGCAAGGATTAACGGCCTTTCTGAGTAGACAAGGAACTGCAGTAGACGGATCGCTTTCTTTTTACGTTCCGGTGGAATATTTGCAAGAATTCGGGCATATGTTGTATCCAAGTCGGAAGGTAGTGATTGCAGAGTGTCATCCACTGCTTCGCGATCGAGACATTCTCTGAGGCGATCAAGTTGGCAAACCGCCCATCGAAACCTGAATTGACACTTTGTTAATATATCTATATCATCTACGACGAATAGTTGTAACTTACATTCCATCAGCTTTTCTACTCACTATATTCTCGATACTGTCCAGCACTTCTGGCAGCTTTGCCCACCTTTTGAATTCTTCGCCTTTATGTAGCCTGGTATTTGTATAAGAGCGAATATCGGCATTTATGGAATCATTGTTTAGATGAATGCAATTGACATCCCCGATCAAGCTACGAAGGCCGTTCTTGATGTCGTCTTCAGCTCGGCTAGTAGACAGGAGATGAACGTTTGCGAAGGCTGGGATGAAGTCCTGCATCCATTCCAGCAGCTTAGACCTTTCAGAGCACTCATCTAGAGCATCAAGGAGAACAGAAACATGTGCAGCAACTTGCATCATATTCTTCAGACAAGATAAGAGCCTACCGGTGTCGGGTTGTAATTGCCCGTCTTTGTGAGAGGCAAATAAGCTGTCAAAGGCCTTCCGAGAGTCTGGCCGTAAGCGATAGAGCTGCAAGACAAGGGAACGCAGCATGTCACCTAGCTTCTGCTTTCTTGTATCTGTGAAATCGAAGAAGAACACAAGTGTGGTGCTATCCCTTTCCTTCTCGAGGTTGTCGAGGATAGTAGCGCTAAGGACGGTTTTGCCGCATCCTGGCATGCCGTGAAGCCACAAGCACTGGCAGGAGCCAAGCTTCCAGTCGCCAAATGTTTTGCTCTGGAGGAACCATGTCCCGGTCCCTAAATGCCGAGATTTTCTTGCGTTATTAATGTTAGTGGACGGGTCAGCAGCTGATAGCCAGCGTTCAATGCGTGCGGTATGATTATCGGCTTTCATCTCGCGTATATGTGTGTTGGTGTCGGTGGATATCTGCTGGACGAACTGCAGGTTTTGCTTCACTTCAACCCATTAGCATAATTCTAATTGAAGCATCATAGAGGTGAAAGGGTACCTAATGGCTCGTACTTTGCTCGATCGGAGATAGATTCCTGACTTCTTGTGCGGGAATGACGGACAAAAGCTCTTTTGCGTATGCCGCCGCCACCACTGCCGCGTATGGCTGCCAAATCTTATTTTTGTGGGAGTCGGCATAGTCGCAGATACCGCGAATGACGAGGCAAGGGAATGAGTCCATCAAGCCTATGGCAATAGTAAGACGGGATGTATTCATAAGTCAAAGATCAAGCTCACCTGCAGCTTCCATCTCGAAGCACATTATATTCTGCTGCTGTGCTAACTTATCCCTTAGGATGGCATCCTTCATTACTTGATCTGCTGATCCGATAGTTCCGTAATGTAGCTGCGGAAATTTGTCAAATCGGTCTTTACTCTTCACTAGATTACTATCATGAGGTCCGCGGCAAGCCTTGCACGACTTTCTCCCCTTCAGATGTACGACATCTGACTTGAAAAGCTTGTCCTTCCCAGGGCCTGGATGGGAAAATCCCTTAGCCATGCCCGGATTTTCTGTCAGCATTGTTGACAGCAACTCCGGGATCTTCTGGCCCTTCCGCCTATGCTGGCCCTGGAGCATAGAAACAGCATTCAACACCAGGTTCGGGGGTTTATTCAGTCTGCCACCGGCATGGATGAATTCCTTTTCCTGCACTGATTTGCCAAAATCGTACTGTACAACAGCTTCAGTAGCCTTAGAGTGTAGGCCTATGACAACATCGCCGAGTCGAACGTCTTTTATGTCGTCGAAGTCGTCTGTCTCGGAGTCCTCGCTCTCTGATTCGCCACCGTTACCTCCATCGCCGTAATAAGGTGCTCCTCCACCTATGCCAACCATCAATCCGAACCTGACAGATTTGAAGCTGCGGAGCATGTCTTTAGCAACAGTTGCAGCAGATGCTTTGCCTGTTGTTTCGGCGGGCAGGCAAGCTATCACCACATTGTGGTGTCCGATTCTTCCAAGGAGGTACGAATTCGTGTCTTGCGGGTCGGCTGCCGAGAGCACTGGATGCTCGGTGTCTAGCATGGCACCCGCCGCCACTAACTCCGTGTTGGGCAAAGCACATATACGGTATAGTCATCGTGCGTAAACTGTCGAGGAACCATGGTCGCGCTTGTTTGTACTTTGAGAAACTATGGTTATATAGCTCTACCTTGAACCCCGCCATAATGGTGCAGCATCACTTAAAGTCACATGACGCCTTACCCCGCTTCGAGAAGGCATCGATAACAGTCTAATTTACTGTACCAACAAGGACTGCGTAGCCCTCGCGGTCTTAGGCAATAGAAGCGAGCTAGAAGTTATTTACCTAATCGTATATTCTCAGTATATACCATGGGGCGGGGCTCCCGCAATTAGTGTTGCCTGGAAGGAGGATACTGAGCGACCAATCACAATTTCGCAACCACGTCGAGGGTTTTTAAGGCCAGGTCCACTCATGTAGAATCGTTTGATCCGGTAAAATTTCCCGCCTTAGTTACTTGAATTATCAAACTATACCCTCTCATGCCGGCATTTACGCGGCTGCTGGCATATCAACACAATACGGTAAAATTTCTGGTAACTTTTACCAGTCTTAGCTTGCACTTACACCCACTTGCACTTGTGGCTGCCAGTGCCCACGCATTCCAGGCTCCATTGGGAGACCCACTAGGGCGCCAGCTCCCCAGTTCCGGCTCAGGAGCAAGGCGGGTGGGCTCGCTTCTCGGCCAGATCTCTGGCAGTCATTTCTTGGAGAGCGAGGAGTCCACAGGTCCAAATCGTTCTATGGAAATTCATTATCCAAATAATCCTTCTTGATGCAGTATGGATGATGCTGCTCGAAGCTACTAGTCCCGCCGTTGCTCGTTGCACCACACTGCAGCCCCTCGCCGCACTAGACCAGCCTGCGCCAACCTGAGCGTGCGCTACCAAAGGACACGTGGCCCTAACGAGCTTCGATGGCTTTCCATCTAGTTCTTCAAGCAATGGCATATTACTCACTCTGCGCCGGCCAGTCTATGTTTCTCAAGCATTGTTGATGAAGGCGTCTTCATCGTCTGAATTAGAGGTATAGTAATTTTTTTTTTTCGGGTAGCGTGAGACATGTGTGGGGGCGGATCGTAGGGCTGCATTCCAGGGACAGCACTGCCTAATTCCCGGCAATCTGTGCGCCATTTTGCTACTTGGTTCATGCGGATCTTAGCTAAGATCTGATTTAGGTCGTGTAAATGATAAAGAGCAAAAGTTGACCTAGGATCTGCTTTAGGGACAGGATCTTGGCTTTTAAAAGAAAGGAAAAAAAAAAAAAATAATCACCAGCTAGGCGATATTAACGTGCATATTTTCCGTAGAGGTGATATTGTACGTAGTTGTGTAAAAGTTACAGTCAGAAATGGTGCGTTTCATTGTGTTTGTGTCACGGGTTAGACCCTGGAAGAGACTCGGACGTTAGTCCTCGTTGCACAGCGAACGGTCGCGACCGTTAGCTCAGGGTACCCACGTCGAATGGTTACCCTTCCAACCAAATGAGGTCGACGCGCTAGTATAGTTAAGGAGATCCTCCGGACCTCTTCCTTTTAGATTCTTCAATCTTTCCTCTTTGTATTAAGATCGTTAGTTAGGTTGAACAATTCTCTCTAAACCCTCATAGTTTGCTCAAGAAGTCCAGTGATAACCTACTATAACTACTTATAGGGGACCAAAGGTACAGCAGTGGTTCCTCTGGTGGAGCCTGCGCACCGCCACACCGCACGCCAAAAAGGGGCTCCCACTATTATTCTTGTTTAACAAAAAAAGGGACACTTATTCCGCCTTCGTCTATACTGTAACTATGTGTAAAGATGTACTGTCGAGCTATCGAATAAGTCACAGTCTCGCCGTGTAAGGTCATACCGGTAAAGTCATGACATATAGATTCATCTGAAAAGCCGAACAATATGTAGAAAGGGAATTGTAGTCTGGCTGGTAGCAGATGATTTAATGTAAGTTTAGGCCAGGGGAAAGCTGACGTGCTTCCATTCGTAAGAGGTGGTTGCATGTCTAGAATGTACTGTACCACAACAAGTACTAAGATATGTCGTGCAAATGTTTCTTTTTGCCTACTTGATGACATATCTGGTGAAGATCGTTCAATCTTGGGGCCAAGAACAGAGCCAAGTCGGGAAGAACTGCATGATCATATCATTGGCTTTAACAGGCTACGTAACGGCTTTCCACGAGTATTTCGGCACGATGCCGCGGCGTCACATCAGACCCGTATTGAGCAATCAGGCCACCGCGGAGCCCACTTCTGATGGCGCTTCACCGAAGAACCTGAGTCAATTTCCACACGCAGCCAGGTAGAAGGGGAGTTACCTGGGAACTCACGGCCGTGGACAGAACGGAATAGTAGGTCTTCTAGTCGTCTGCGCCAAGTTCTCTAGCGTGAATCTTCTACGACTTGGAGAGCTTGTGGAAGGTGTCTCCGACCTTCTTCAGACGTGCATAGCAACCCTCGTAATCTGCGTTGTGGGGGCCATGGCAGTTGGCGCATTTTGGCGTTGCCTGACAACCCTTTCCACTCTGCTTCTCGGATGTCTGTTGTACATATATTGCACTTAGACTAAAGGTACCGGTAGAACTCCGAAAGCAGTTCAATGAGTAATGGAGATGAAGTGCTCCATCACCAATTTGTTCTTTTTAGTGCAGAGCGGAGAAGGGGGTATGATTCAATGAGAAGCCATATTTTGCCGCCACATTAGCCTCAAGATAGCTACGAAAGATCGTCTGTAAACATCTCTTTGCTCATTCACAACACGCCATCGCTCTGCCGACGATGGATGCCCTTCAGTATCAGGGCAGCGCCCATGGCGGACTGTGTGAGCAATTTGCAGCCTACATTACGCAGAGCAACGCTCAGCTGGAGCGTGAGCGGACGCGAAGTGACGAGCGCCTGCGGCAGGTCAGTCTCTACGCTGAACGTCGCCAGCTGGATCAACGGAGACAAGAGCTGGAACAGCGCTCCTTATAGTGTAACCGGTTCGAAAAATCACCTCAAACCGCCTCAACGGTCCGGCAAGCTGGATCAAACCGAGCCGCCGGTTTAAATCACTTTTGCCAACCGAACCGCCGGTTTATTCAGCTTCTACGAACCGCACTAATAGTCCTTGCCCAATTTTCAAGCCGAACCGAACCGCAAACCGCGGTTTGACCGGGGTTAAACTAATAGTCGCGCACCAAATAGAGAAGCACAGAAATTTCTTTTACCGACTCATCTGATTCACTTGCCCTGCGGCCTTGCCAGTGAACCCCACTTCCAAAGGAACGCAAGCTACATATCATCATCACTCCCCGGCCCAGCTTCCCCGACGGTGTCGCTCGCCGCCGTCGGACTAGCATAGCAGCACTGTGCTCATTGTTAGACAACTAGTCCACGGATAAAGCAAAACACTTACCTCAAAAGGGACTACGAGCGCACTTTGGTCCCAGGACCGCAAGCACTCCAAAAGATTCACAGTTTCAACGCTGAGAGAGCCTCTTTGATCTGTAATTGTCGTTTTAGATTTGGAAAAAAGTCGTTCCGTTTCAGCAGACATGGGCGCGTTCGACAAAATGTCAATGGCCATCAAAGAAAGATTGGGGAATCTACGTCTTTGCGCGGACTCCAGCCACCAGTGCAATGGGTCTGATGTCATCAAGACAGGTTCCCGGCAGTACATCTCGTACTCATCGTCATCCATGTTGAAAACCGTTGCCTTTTGCTCTCTCATCCACATCTTGTATCCGTTTGGTCGTGTCAGCATCGGGTCTTGAGCTTGACTTTGTTGAATGGCAGGACACGATGTCGTTGACTTGTAAGTCTCTCTCCACAGCTCTGCCACCCGATGTTTAGCTCTTTCGATCCAATCCTCTTTCTCCTTCCATGTCCTTTCCATGTATGCCCATTTGAGCGAAAGATTCAGCACTGTCGCAGCCGAGTACACTGCAGAGTCCTCCGTGAGCTCGTAGTAATCAGCTAGTTTAGCCCATGCCGTCTCCATCATTGCGGCCAAGTGAGGATCGGCAGTCGCTGCCCTAGCAGCTTCAATATGGTGGAGTAGATAATCCATTGTTGGCAAGACGTCAGCGATGGACGACGCTGTTGCTCCTTCGTTGGCCATTGTAGCATCGTAAAAGGGCTCAAGAAACTTATATGCCTCGGCCAAAACTACCCAGTCGGAGGCTTTTAACGCATCGTCTTGCAGAGCTGACTCCTGCGCGCAGAATATCGTTATCGCCTGGTGTACTCTGGGTCGGAGGGCGCATTCTACCATCTTATACCAAGAGTTCCAGCGAGTATCATTGTCGCGGCGCAGCCTGAGGCCATCAGTAAGCGCCGTGAACGTACGAAGCCGCTGTGGCGTCCAAGTGATATACGTCACAATGTTGTGAAGTTTGCCTATCGCTCCACGCTTCCTCCACTGCTCGACTTGTTCGGCAGACGGCCCGAGGTATGTACCCGTCGTTGACGGTCTCTTGCCTACAAGAAATTCCATCACCGCCAAATTGATCACATGTCCCAAGCAGCGAAGCCTATGAGGCAGCGGGTCGTAGAAGACACCAAACTCTCGCTCCAAGTCGTCGGAAATTTGGTCGATCATGGTGTTCATGTTGCTGGCGTTGTCCATCATGAAGTATCCGACCTTGGAAGCAATTCCATACTCTCGTATAAACTCCATGATAGCCTCGGCCATGTTCTCGCCGCTGTGCTGCCCGCCAAGTTCTTTAATCCCCACGACAAGTGACTGAAGGCCATGGTCTTCCGTCACAAACTGAACCGTGAAGCCTAGGACGCCTAGCAGGTTTGGCGATGTCCAATTGTCCGGCACAATGTGGATCGACGAGAGCGAATTCTGCAGCGCTCGCTTAACGAACTCTTGCTTGCAATCATAGCCCTGCTTCAAGTCATTTTTCACGATGTCGCCGGACCTTGGCAGAAGATCGTCGGCGGCTGGTTGGATGTAGCGTATCAATTCACGAAATGACTGCTGCTCAATGTGAGCGAAGGGCAAGCTGCAGGCGACCGCGTAGCGACAAAACAACTCGCGCAGGGTGTCCGGGTCCAGCGCGTCCCCTTCCGTCGTCAGTTTGCGTTTCTTGGCAGGATGGAAGGCTTCTCCCGTCAGAAACGAAGCAATATTTCCAAGTCTCTTTTTTGTTACCTCCTTACTGGCCTCATGTTTGCCGCAGATCATGATGTTGTGCTCCCTGCGCAGATGGTTGATGATAGTGGATGAGCCGCCGGAGTATTTGTAGCGCTTGGCTTTCTTCTTCTCAAAGCAAGGCTGGCAATGCCACCATCGCGAGCCATCAGAATCCACCCATGCCCCGGGCTTTGTCTTGCCCTCCGCTAGCCGGCAATGCAACCAGATAGGTGAGGTCTTTTGTCGGAGTGCGCTCAGAATCGCATCGGTCGGTGTCGCTGAAAAAGGAGGGTCCGTCTGTGGGTCAGGATCGTCCAAGCAGCCTGAACTACTTCCAGCGCTGGTGGACTCGGCCATGCCTACTACCCTAAAGTTTGTGAGCTGCGCGGGCCGGCGAAAGAGAAAGTAACGATGATACTATGGAAAAGCTTTTGTAAATACTTGTTCGTAAAAATAAACGGCCAGCGCAGCCAATGGACAATATTTAGCGACGTATCTAAAGGCTGAAGCTTGATGGGCGTGCACTATTAGAAGCGCTGAGCTGGAAAGGCCGATGCAAACGCATAGAGCCAATATCGATATTGATATAATGTCAAAACACTATTCTACGGCGTAAATCTCTCCTCGGC